GGAACAATCTGCTGCTCCTTAACTTTAACTGAGTCTTTGAATTACACAACTGATGTGGACATTCTTTAAGTTGATATCTTTGTTCAGATATAAACATTAATGACAGATGAGCAATTTTATCTGTTTGACCTATTGGCCTCAAATAATAGAACAAAGATGGATCAACTTGGTTCAAACGTTCTCAAATTTAATTGCTAGATAAATTCTTTTAATAAATTCATATATGTAAAGGGCTTAGAACAGTGCCTGCCATGTATTAAGAACTTCATAAATTCAAACAATTATTATTGTTATTGCCATCATTAAGTAACTATTTTGTTTATGTATGTAAATAAATCACTAATAACAAAGAATTAATCCATGGAATATTTGTTTTAATGCAGTTCATTTATAAGTTACTGTATGAGTCTGTTTTCATGCTGCTAATAAAGACATACTCAAGACTAGACAATTTACAAATGAAAGAGGTTTAATTGGACTTACAGTTCCATGTGACTGGGAAAGCCTCACAATCATCCTGGAAGGTGAGGAAGAGCAAGTTACATCTTACATGGATGGTAGCAAGCAAACAGAGGGCTTGCATAGGGAAACTCCAGTTTTAAAATCATAATATCTCATGAGATTTATTCATTACCACCAGAACAGTACAGGAAAACTTGCCCCCAGGATTCAATGACCTCCCACGAGATTTGTCCCATTCAGGATGAGATTTAGATGGAGACACAGCCAAACCACATTAGTGACAGAACAGTACAGGAAAGACCTTTCCCCATGATTCTATTACCTCCCACCAGGTTCCTCTCATAACACATGGAAATTGAAGATGAGATTTGGCTGGGGACACAGCCAAACCATATCAGGGGCCATATTCTCCTTAAGCCAGTAATTTTCACAAAATTTAATTTAATGATGCTCTATGATCTTTTCCAGATAAAACAAAAATATGAAGAGCAGCATATGGGAAACATACAGAAAATTTTAAAGAACATAAATTTAAAAATATATTGTAGGATAGATATCAAATTTCTGTCCAATTGTATTTTATATGATTTAAGATAAAAGCCTTAAAAGGCAGTGATAATATTCAATAAATTATCCTGTAAATGACTGTGTCTAGTTCCTGTTATTTCAAGCAAGGTAATTGCATGTTTAATAGCAGTAGCTATTCTTCAGTTGTGGCTGCTCTTCAGATTCTGTCTCAGATAGGAGGATCTAATTTAGTGACAAGAAAAATAGGATAAATCAACTCTGTCATATGAGCTAAGTAAATCCAAAGATAAACAAGTATGAAAAATTATACACTTATGAAATGGGCCATATAAATAACATATCAAAAGTTTAGTTGCCCCTCATATCTACTTCTAGTTAGATTTATAGATTGATAAGTAACATCATTGATACCCAGCATAGAGGGTATCAATGGACTATATAAATCTAGTAAATGTATTAATTGACCTAATATAAGGATATGTTCTATATCATGAAGATCTGGTTATCGAGACAATTTTCCAGGTTTCAGAAAGAAAAGCATTTTGAATCCCTAAGACAGAATTTTACCCTTAATGTGGTAACAGCCAAAAAAAGAAGGATACCTTACAAAAAAGCAGAGAACAAGTGATATAAATATTAGGAATATAGGAGATCAGAGTAATCCCACATACTTTATATGCTTTCCAAGAGAATATTAATAGTATCATGAATATTATTAGTAATTCAAATAGTAATGTTAGTGACAAAGCATTCACTTACATAATACTTATTATGTACAAGGTATCATACCAAGCACTTTACATATTTCACCTCATACAATTTCATGGTAAATTCAGAAAAGAGGATGTAATGGTTCATTTCATCCATTAACATGACTGAGGTTTGGTGTGCCCAGACAAATCATTATTTCTAGTGTGTCTGAGAGGGTGTTCATGGAAGAGATTAGCATTGGAATTGGATAATTCACTACAGTAGATTGCCCTCCCAGTGTGCTGGGTATCATTGTCCAATCTGTTGAAGCCTTGAATGGAACAGCCAGCAGAGGAAAGAGTGATCTGCTCTCAACCTCTCATTTTCTTTTCTGTCCCATTGCTTGACTGAACATCTCATCTTCTCTCATTCTGGAACTGGCATCTACGTCAGTAGTTCCTCTGGTTCTCAGACCTTCACACTTAGACTGAATGGCACCACCAGCTTTCCGGGATCTACAGCTGGGAGAAAGACGATTGTGAGACTTCTCAACCTCAGGGATTATGTGACTCAATTCCTCATATTTAATTATAAATATCCACACAGATACATACACACACACACACACACACACACACACACACACACACACACATATATATATATATACTTGGTCCCATTTCTCTGGAAAACCCTGGAAAATATAAAGGAATCATTTTTTCAATTTATTTGCTGGGGAAACTGAAGTAATTAGCTGCTAGAAAGGATCAGTGTACTCAAAGCAATTTGAGTCACTGACATAGGGAAGTAACTTGGTGTCTCTCTTTGTACTTAACCTCCTCATGATATCATATCTGTTTAGATGTCTAACCATTGACTCAGACTGCAAGTTCTAAACACCAGAGCCCTATTTTACTATTTTTCTCCTGAAGCTTAGAGGTGGGCCCAGTACATAGTAGGGGCTTCTTAATAATTTGGAAAACACTAAAAAGAAAAAGACCCACATATATTAGCAATAATCTTTTATTTTTTTAGTGAGTTTTATGCAAAAATACCAAATCACTCTAAAACTACATCTCTCATTTAAAAGTCAGCAAACATATTAGGTAATGTATCTTAAGATATTTATTTGTTAGATTTATAAGCAAATATTTTAAATAAGAAATTTATTTTATCAAGGTCATGTCGTTATTATGTTTTCCTTTTATTTTCTGTGTTTTGCCCATCTTTATTTTTATATCTTTCTTGTTTTGTAGTTAAGGTGTTTTTCTATTCTTATTAGTTAGTTTGTTTGTTTGTCTTCTCTTTCTTGAAACAGAGTCTCGCTCTTTCTCCAGGCTGGAGAGCAGTGGTACAATCTCGGCTTACTGCAACATCTGCCCCCCAGCTTCAAGCGATTCTCCTGCCTCAGCCTGCCGAGTAGCTAGGACTACAGGCAGGCGCCACCTGCCCAGCTAATTTTTCTATTTTCGGTAGAGATGGGATTTCACCATGTTGGCCAAGATGGTCTCAATCTCTTAACTTCGTGATCAGCGCACCTTGGACTCCCGAAGTGCTGGGATTACGGGCATGAAGCACTGCTCCTGTCCAGTTATGGTGTTTTAAAGACAAACAATTATGCTGGAGTGAAAAAATATGATTTAGTAGCTATATAAAATTCAGTCAGTTTCATCATATTTTTTTTTACTGACCAACATGGCTGAAAAAAGCAATTAGATAAAATAATATTAAGAAGATAAAAAGAAATACAACATTGACACATTACTCGAAAATAGGATCTGGGTTTTGTTAACATGCACACGCAGATATATTTATATCTTAAATTTCCTTTTGAACATATTCATATTTCCTAGGTAGAAGATTATATAGAAGAAATTAGGTCATCATCAGCTCTGTTTATACTTTCTATGCACAAAAGGGAATGCAGCTCTAAGTTTCTCCTCAATTAGGTGGGGGCTATATGAAGCAGAATTTATAAAAATGATAACAAAGTGATCTGTATAGCATCTTTGCCTTTACTTTCAAACATCTCTTTTTATGCTCCGTCATTTCATTGTCCCATGCTTGGAAGCTATGGATGAAAGATGCTGGATTCCCCAATGGAAAGAGAAAGGTCACCTTGAGCCACTACTTGTAGAAGGACAATTCTGCCTGTTCATGTTGGGTATTCTATATTATGATAGTGATGGCTGAAGAAAGTCATTGCATAGAGACAACAAGGTGAATTGAGAGCATAAATTAGAAGCAGAAATTGGAAATGGGAAAGGAGATGAAAATTATACCTCTGTACTTAATATGAATCAGACTCTGTATTGTGAATAAATCACCGAGTCTCTGGCAGATTTCCTCTTATAAAGTTGTGTCTCCATAATAAAAATTTATCTAGTGAAAATATAGAAAACAAGTCCAAAAATGAAAAATGAGAGAATAAATGTGAAATGAATAGATAACAGACCACATGATGAAATATTATTGAATGGTAGCAATTTTAGTTCTTGTACGAAGTGCTGATTAGCTCCAAATTTCTGAACGGATTACTGATACATGTATAGGTCTTTGATCACCAGGTACATAAAACTGTGATACAGGAAGTAGATGTTAATAGCTAGCTACCCTTCAAATACTGGATACAGTACAAACTACTCTTAATCTTTTGAAGCACTTTGTACAGTTTTAAATATATTATAGAATATAATTCTCCTGAGTTTTTTAATAAAATTGGGAATACAGACTTTAGCTGGTCCCACAGCAACCAGACTTGCATATTTCAGATACTATCTACTGCACTTTAGAATACCTCAAAATACATAATTAAAAATGCAAAATGCCTATCATGACATTATGTAGGTATACAGCATAAATGAACATAAATCTGAAATAGGAATTCACTCCTTCTTTCTTATGAGTTTAACTAATTATGTTAATCAAACATTAAATGTTTTACGATATAGGACATGAATCTAGATGTTAAAATGTTCAAGTCATAGTTGAGATTATGAAATGATCCAACAACAATGTAAATGCACATCAAGCAAGTTTTCATGAAAACAGCAATAAAAATGTGTACTCATTCATACTAATAAACAATTTGTAAATATTATTTTATATATTATTCAAATTATACAATCTATAATTACAAAAATAATGTATCATATTAATCATGTAAAATACTTTGATGTAACATTATTTTATAGGTTTTTCTATTATCTATTTAAAATATTTTATCAATAATCTCTCATTTTCAAAGTAAAAAGTTATTAAATTATATTAATTTAATAATTTATTATTAAGAAGATTACAATGGTCACTATGAAGTCAGATTATATTTTTATGAGTGTTTTGTGTGTGTGTGTGTGTGTGTGTATGTGTGTGTGTATGTGTGAATGAAAAATGCATGTGATCCTAGAGTTGGCTTGAGAAACAAGTTGTCTTGTTTTGTACTTATCTTCGTGAACTGTTATTCTAAATTTATTGAGTCAGTTCTATCATAAGATACTTTGATGAGTACATTAGTCTGTTATCAGATTGCTATAAAGGCATGCCTGAATCTGGGTAATTTCTAAAGAAAAGAGACTTAATTGACTCACAGTTCCACAGACTGTACAGGAAGCATGGCTGGGGAGGACTCAGGAAACTTACAGTCATGGTAGAAGGTGAAGAGGAAGCAAACGTGTTTTCACTGTCTTCACATGGCCACCTGGAGAGAGAGAGACAGGAGTGCTACACACTTTCAAACAATCAGATCTCCTGAGAACTCTACCATGAGACAGCACTAAGGGAATGGTGCTAAACTGTTAGTAACCACTCCCATATTTTAATAACTTCTCACCATTCCCAATATCCAAAATTGAGAATTACAATGCCACATGAGATTTGGGTGGGGACACAGAGCCAGCCCATATTAATGAGTAAAAAGACTAAGATATTGAGAAAAGGTGAGCAACCTAGTACAATAGAAAGACATGAATGTCTACACTAGATTGCACACTTGATCTTGTGGGTGTCTCATACATACATTCAAAACAACTGACATAGAACACCTCCTGCAGTCCCGCAAAACACTGGATCTAATTTAAATTCATATGGCCACCTGCTACTACTGTTTTGTTTTTATGTACTGTAATGACTAGATAAAGCATGAAGCAGAGCTTGATAACACTCAATGGTGGGGGAGTGGATGTTTTCTTTGTAATTGCTTTTGTTATTTTTTCTTATTAAAGATAAATCCATCAAATCCCAAAAAGCATTAATATTTCTTATTAACTGAGAATCTAAAAAGGAGAAAAAAAAACAAATGCGAGAATATAAATTTTAATTATTTTATTTATTTATTTATTTTTTTGAGATGGAGTTTCACTCTTGTTACCTAGGCTGGAGTGCAATGGCGCGATCTTGGCTCACAACAATCTCTGCCTCCTGGGTTCAGGCAATTCTCCTGCCTCAGCCTCCTGAGTAGCCGGGATTACAGGCACGCGCCACCATGCCCAGCTAATTTTTTGTATTTTTAGTAGAGACGGGATTTCACCATGTTGATCAGGATGGTCTCGATCTCTTAACCTCGGGATCCACTCGCCTCGGCCTCCCAAAGTGCTGGGATTACAGGCTTGAGCCACCGTGCCCGGCCAGTTTTTACTCATCATTGCTAGACTGGGAAGTAGGCTAAATAAATTACAAGATATTCTTTTGGTGGAGTGCTGGCACTGAGTATAGGACTCTCTGGTTTGATGGATTCTATAGCACTGCACAGCTTTGATTGGTTTTTAATCACTTAGAATAATTTATAACTGTCTCTGGTCAAAATAGAATAATTCTATTGTGATGAAAATCATCCTTGTCAATACAATGTATTTAATTTTTTCGCTGTGGAGATTGTTTTTCATTGTATTGAAAACGTTGTCCAAAAATATATGTATATATGCCAATAATAGAATAGTATAGTATCCTAATCAAGTTTTATAAGTATATATATTATATATATATATATAATATATATATACACACACACACTTTATCTAAAAATACTAGATATGTGGGTGTGTATATATATATATACATATACATATACACACACGTATCTAGTATATATATATATATATCTAGTGTGTGTGTATATATGTATATGTATATACCCATATATACATATATATACACACACATATACTAGATACGTGTGTGTATATATATGTATATGTATATATATGCATATATATATATATACACACACACACACACACACACACACATACTATATCTAATAACCTGTTTTTAATTTAGGTTTTCTTCAGCTATGAATGTTTGATGCTCACAAAATAGAAAAGACTTAGAAGAAAACAGTGCCGATCAAACAGTGTTGATCAATAAGTTACTTTAGCTTATTACTCTACAAAATGATAACTTTTGTATGTTGTTATTTAGAAATGATATAAAATATTTCTCCACATGTTTTCAAGTGAACAATGTGATGGGATGACAACACTTTAATTAACTTGGGATTTGACTGTTTCATCATCCAATGCTTGCCAAAGCTTCTACATGAACGCATTCCCTTATATGCGATGCCTATTAACTTTGCATTTTCCAGATATCTTGACAGGACGAAATTAAAAATGGAACTTTCTAAAGGTTAGTTAATTACAAATAATAAATTACGTTATGCAAATGTGGGATCTCCAAAAATGATCTAATTCTCCAACAACCCATACTGAGCTGGTGAATTAAAACTTACCTTTTATTTACAGTGTTAAATTTTCAATCAAAGTGAAGGTTACTCAATATAAGGACATGTAAGTTTCTGCATGTATTTGGTCTTTTCCCTTCGAAGGAAACTAGGGTTCTAATTTTAGTCTTCTGAGGTATCTCTTTAGAGATTTAATTCAAGCATATTTTTTAACTCTGAATAAAATAATTTCAGTGTTCAATCTAAGGCTCAGGAGCAGATCTGGCACTCAGGATTTTTATTAACTCATTCACTCCACAATCTTTCTCACTGTTATTTACACAATCTGATACAATTTGCTTCATTCTAATTCTGATTCTATTTCATTTAGCACAAAAGTGATAGAAAAAATACCTAATAGAATATCTATCATCTATCTATCTAAGCCACATTTTGAGTCCATGTGTTCCAGGAATATTTAATACAAATATGTTTATGTTACTATTTATATGAAAAATGATCCAAAGTCAATAATTTCATTTCCTCCACCTCTCTCTCTCCTACTCTCTCTTCCAGATTTATCCTCATTTCCTCTAGTCTGATACAATTCTAAAGGGGAGTGGAAATAATTTATGAGGAAGCCAAACCATTAAAATGACAATTATCAAAGCAAACAAACCCTATATAAATAGAGTAATAAAAATGCTAAACACCTTGAAATCTATGATCATAAAATTATTGTGGTCTAATATTTTAAAATCTGAACTCTCCAGCAGGCTCAGTGACACTTTCACCTCACAATCACCAAGATAAGAAAATATGGGGATAGAATCCTCACTGTTAAATTGACCCCAGTGCTTCCCCTAATCAAACTTTATGCACGATAAAGGATGATGCCTTCACCTTAGAGTGATCAACTCTTAGTCTGTTTTCAAGGATTCATTATGTTCTAAAGTAAATATACGGCCTTTAATTTTTTTAAAAAATTACTGCAGAATCAAAATTATGAAAAGTCAAGCACGTATACCAACTACCCATACACAGCTTAGATATCCTTATGAATTCTACAACTCTTCTTGGGACTGTGTTTTTAGAAGTCATGGCCTTTCTGTATTATGATTTTTTAAATTTTATATTATGAACTTACAAGTATAATCATCCTTACTGTATTTAATTTTTGTGCTGTAATTCTGTCACATAATTATTTAATAGTTTCCTTTATGAATGCAATTATGACATTGATTTTTGTCAAAACATAGAATTTAATATCTAAAAAAGCACAAAGCCAGAGAAAAGTTACAAAGTCAGATTTTTAGTCATTTCTTTGTAGAGCTAAACAACTAACTTTAAGAAATGAAAGAGTGGAAAGCTTCTGCTGTTTTCCTCATTATCCCTTTACCAGTATGTAGGTTACCCTGACACAGCCATTTCCTTTTCCCCAGGATATTAATTATGTCACACCTCCATTGTGTAGGTTATCTCTCAATTGTCTCCTTTTTAGCTACCATGTGTTTTCTGAAAATATTTTACTCTTCCCTTTTTTTGGGTATTGCTTCTTATTTTTTGCTCTCTCCCTCACCCAGCTTACTTTATTTGTATGTTTCATAATTTTACATGTCTTTTGGATTGATAATCCCACCGTTGAAATGTATCTAAATTCAAACGTTCCGCTGTCATCACAGCCATGTTTTCCCTAACCTATCCAGATGCATTCAAAACAAACCTCAAGCAAGTACTATCAGATATTGAATGACAGATGTTACACTATTTATTCTTAAAGCCCTTTAGATTTACCTCATAAGCTCTTTTTTATAGGAGAAAAAACTTCTTTCAAAGAGTCTAAGTCTTAAAAGTTAAGTGGGGATCTCTATCTCAGTTGTATTTGATTCTTGTCTCCAGATCATTTTATTGAAACAAGCTTCATACACTTACTCTGAATAACTAACTGAAAGTCACAGATCTTTGTATTCTTAACAGGTCTCATGTGTTCTACGTGTACAGGTATTCCCTTTATATTTTAGTAGAGTGATCTATGAAGATGAATTAAGTATTTTTGCAGAGTTCTCTAGTTACCTCAGTTTCAACTCTTTCTCCTAGATGTTAGATGTTTACTCAAAATTCTTCAACATATATATAAAATTTTTGCACCTATTAAGAGTCAATAGGATATATACCTCAGAGTAAAGCAGAGTATGACTGATTCAGCTCCAATTTTGGCATATATACTCCTAAAGTGAGCATAGTAAATAAAGAGTTATTAAAGAAATATCCAAAGGAACAAAACCAGTGGATCTTGCAATCTTGTAATGGCTCAATTCCCTAAACCCAGCTGATGGGCTTAGAGATTCTTTATATAAATAGCTTTACAGCAATTTATGCACTGCTATATAGATATGCCAGGCCTCTGAGCTAGTAATAAAACTACTACCAGAGGAATAATTAGAATAGGAGGTCGCAGACACAGGCGATCTGAAAGTAAATACTTAATATCTCTGGAATTTAGTATTTAACAGCAACTACTAAAAGTTATCAGTATGCACTGGGTTTTATGCTTAAGTTTTCAGGAAGCACTGGTTTTTATGCTTAAATAATATCATAATTGTATTACAATCATGGGTTTGCATCACTATCTCTTTCAATATGCAGTAGGCTCCGTTGTAATCACCGACTTACTTCAATGTGTTAGACTTCAATGTCTAACACAACAACTAGTAAACCATAGTTGATAAATTAAAGTTTTGATGAAATTCACAACTAACTAAACCATGAGTAGCCCCTCTTTTGAATTAGCTCATCTGGTTATCGTGTTCTAGTCTTCAACTAATATTAACCTGTTTTTTTTTTTTTTGTTTTTGATACAGAGTTTTATTCTGTTGCCAAGCACCAGGCTGGACTACAGTGGTGGAATCTCGGCTCACTGCAATCTCTGCCTCCCAGATTCAAGTGATTCTCCTGCCTCAGCCTCCTGAATAGCTGGGACTACAAGCTTGCGCCACCATGCCCGGCAAACTTTTGTATTTTTTAGTAGAGACGGGGGTTTCACCGTGTTGGCCAGGATGGTCTTGATCTCTTGACCTTGTGATCCACCAGCCTCAGCCTCCCAAAGTGCTGGGATAACAGGTGTGAGCCACCGCGCCCGGCCAGCTTGCTTATTTTTTAAGGTCCAAACTGTTTTTTCTTCCTCCCCTGAAAATCTTTTGGAAAAAGGAAAAAAACTCCACTAAATTTTCTTTTCACTTATTCATATTCTGTTCTGAAGCAAGTACAATCGTATAGTGTAAATCTTCAATTTTGTCTATAACATTCACCATTGTATTTTGATAAACTAGGATATTCTTTTTATTTAATGTACTTTGACAGTGCTAGCAAATAGCATATGTTCACTGAATCGTTCATGAGGTAATAAAAGTTTGATGACGGAGTGAGCCACAGTTATCCTCAAACTTTTCACTTAGACTCTTTTAAATCTTTTGAGTGTTGTAGCATCTGGCCTTATTATCAACAATAGATTCAAAAATGCACATAATTTGCAAATAATGTTTTACCATCCAATTAGAAACAGTCCTATACACAAGTACATCTGTAAAAATGCAAATGTTGATATCAGATATAACAACTATTTCTTTATGCCATTTTGCCTATAAAAGTCATTATTCTACTATATTGTCATTTAAATAATTTACTGTTTTAGTTTTTTAATAGCTTATTTTTGAGAAGTTTTAACATCACAGCAATTGAGCAAAAAGTGCAGAGATTCTCATATACTGTGTCCCCACAAATGTGAAGCCTCTTCCATTATCAACATCCCACAGCACCAGAGTGGTACATTTTGTTACAATCAATGAACCCACACTGACACTTCATTATCACCCAGAGTTCATAATGATGTTAGAGTTTACACTTGGTATTGTACCACCTATGAATCTAGACAAATGTATACTGTATGTATCCACCATAGTAGTATACAGAATGATTTCACTCTCCTAATAATCTTCTGTGCTCCACCTATTCATCCCCTGCCTTCACCAAACCCTGGAAACCATGATCTTTTGAATGTCTCCTTAGTCTTGCCTTTTCCAGAATGTGAAATAGCTAAAAGTATACAGGAGAAAGCCTGTTCAGATTGGCTTCTATCACTCAGTAATACCCACTTAAGTTTCCTTCATGTATTTTCATGGCTTGGTAGTATTTTGAATATTGAATACATAAGCAAGTCCTTCATTTTTGGTGATATCACAAGTTATGTATCCATTCACCTATTGATGGGCATGCTGGTTGCTTCCAGGTTTTAGCAGTTATGATAAGGCATACAAATATCTGTGTGCACGTTTTTGTGTAGACATAATTTTTAAATTAATTTGCACACTGCTGATGGAGGGCAAATTGATACAACCACATTGGAATATTGTTTGCCTGTAACTTACGAACTTTTACATGATAAGCTATAAGTCAGCAATTCCACTCCTGCATACATATGCAACAGAGATGCATACCTATAAATGTTAAAAACATGTATTAAAATGTTCATAGAAGCATTACTAGTAATATCTCTAAAGTAGAAAGAACCCACATAATAACAGTAGAATGAATAAATGAATTAAACAAATACTAAACAGCGGTACTCTCCAATACAGTAGCCACTAGCCACATGTGACTACTGACCACTTGATCTGTTTGGCCCTTAATTTGTCAATACCACGCTGTCGTCATTTACTGTAGCTTTTCTGTTTGCCTTGGTATGCCTTCCAAATCTCTGAAATAAAATTTATAACTTGCATTTACTTGTGACACTTTGACTATACTGAATCTTTTTTTTTTTTTTTTTTTTTTGAGACAGAGTCTCGCACTGTCACCTATGCTGGAGTGCAGTGGTGTGATCTCTGCTCACTGTAACATCCACCTCCCAGGTTTAAGCAATTCTCCTGCCTTAGCCTCCTGAGTGGCTGGGACTACAGGCACCTGCCACCCCGCCTGGCTAGCAGTTTTTGTGTTTTAAGTTTATATGGGGTTTCACCATGTTGGCCAGACTGGTTTTGAATGTCTGACCTCGTGATCCACCGGCCTTGGCCTTCCAAAGTGCTGGGATTACAAGATTTCACCATGCCTGGCCTATATTGAATCTTTTAAAGCTGACAAAACACACTTAGTAGATAGAGAAACTGAGGCTTTGAAAGGATAAGAGTGCCTCAGGGTGTCAGAATTGGTTTGTGTTGGAGTTAGCACTTGGACAAGGATCTAGCTTCCTCTGTCTCCCTGGCTTATGACCTTTCTCTGCCCTTCTTCCTGAAAGAAACTTTTCTGACAGTTGTTCACTCTCTTAGAGCCAGGGTAGCTCTGATATCAAAATGTAGTGCAAACATTAAGTACCTTGGTCCAGAAAAAGGTGTATGATGGTGTCAGTGAAAGGGAAAACTTTTTAGGAGATAGCTTTTCTATGTGAGATGAACTTCTTAATCTAGAAGGCATAAAAGCAAAACAAAACAAAAGCCTGGTGTCTCAGCTAACCAAAAAGACAATTTTATATTTTACATGGAAATTGCTTTTATGCAAGCACCTTTCCCTTAAATATAAAGTATATTTTTGTAACCGTGTCCTTTATGACTTACCATATCTAATTTGTCTGATGTCATGCCCTCAATCTGCAGAAATATTAACAGGTTTCTTCAGTAGAAAGTTTGCTCTGTTTTGAAAACAGCTGGAATGCAATATGTTTAGCTCGAATATTATTATTTGATGTTTTAAAATGTCCTAAACATTCAATATGGAAAAGTCTGTAAAATTTTGTAATCTTTGAAGACCAAATATGTATACTTTTTGACTTGCCCCTTGTATACATTAAATTAATTGCTTTATCTCAATCTTCTTAGTAATAATTTTAGCCTGTGTAAATATGTTCTTTTAAAAATTTATTGGCTTTTATTTTGCTTTAACATTATATATATACACACACACAACCATATACATATATATATAATACTGTATATTATATATATTTATATGTAGACACATACATACATATACATAGATATATGTCTATCTATATACAGACATATAAATCTTAAAGGATAAATATAACTTGAGTAACAATCTACTACTCCGTTATATCTCCCTTCTCTCTGGGATTCCTGGTGTGCCCCACTCTAAAGACAACAATCTTCATTCTCCTCAGGGAAACCATAGTTTTGGTTTTGGTGCTAATCATTCTCTTGTTTTTCTTTTCCTTTTTTTTTTTTTTTTTTTTGATGGATTCTCACTCTGTCGCCAGGCTGGAGTGCAGTGACGTGATCTCTGCTCACTGCAACCCCTGCCTCCCAGTTTCAATGGCTTCTCCTGCCTGAGCCTCCCAAGTAACTGGGATTGCAGGTGCCTGCCACCATGCCCAGTTAATTTTTGTATTTTTAATAGAGAGAGGGTTTTACCCTGTTGGTCAGGCTGGTCTCAAATGCCTGACTTTGTCATTTGCCTGCCTCAGCCTCCCAAAGTGCTGGGATTACAGGTGTGAGCCACCTCACCTGGTCTTGTTTTTATTTTCAATTTCATTGTTTATTCCTTAACAATGTTGTCTAATGCATAAATTTAGTGACTGAGAAATAAATTGTTTTGCTTATCAGTTAGTTCTAGTACATTGCTTTCAGCATAAGTGGAGGAAGGCCAAACTGATTTGTCAGTTGAATAATCATCCTGGACAATTCTTATGATAGAGCACTATATTGTCTTTGACATTTTGTTGAGGGACATTGCACAGTGAAGCGACTCCCATTCATATGTGCTTGGTTATATGAGACAAGATTTCCCAATGTTACATTAGTAAAAGCTGAAATCATGGAGAGACTTAGTGTTGAAACCTGTCTCATACTAACAGTAATTGACAGCCATATGGGACCAAATGAACTATTGAAAATTAGGAATCATTTACCTTTGTAAATGATGCACTGTTCTAATGTGTTTAGTAATTCATAGTCTATAATCACATATAAAGTTATGTAATATATTTATGTTATGATCAGTCTACATTTTAATAACTAAAATGATACCTCAAACCAAAATAATGTTTGGTTTCACAATACTAAATTCCTTATCGAGGCAAGAATTAAAAAAATAAAATTTCACTTTACATTAATAATTCACATATCTGGTAGCAAAACATTGAATAGTTATCAAAAATAATTATAATTATGTAATATTTTATAAAATTCTCTGAAAGAAGTAGAATGAAATTGTGAGCTCAAGAAGAAAAAAGGTCATTATAAATTTTCCAACTGTGAAAGAATACCCTTTTATTGTTATTTAAAATTAATTCTTGTGGTGTTTTGATATGCAATACCAAATCTTTTAATATGAATGATTACATGAATACATTATTTTATAATATTTACAATTATGTGAAAATTATACAATGTTTAACTTTTTAAGCTTAGAGCAGTTTATTTTAGAAAGAAACCATAAAAAGGCACAAGAAGGCACACAGCTTTAAAATATTTAAGGTGGACATGTGATTATGAAATTTGGCCTGATATGGTGGCTCATACCTGTAATTCCAGCACTTTGGGAGGCCAAGGCAGGCAGATCACCTGAGGTCAGGAGTTTGAGACCAGCCTGGACAACATGGTGAATCTCAGTTTCTACTAAAACTACAAAAAATTTATACAGACATGGTGGCAGGTGCCTGTAATCCCAGCACTCGGGAGGCTGCAGCAGGAGAATCCTTGTATCTGAGAGGTGGAGGTTGCAGTGAGCTGAGATTGTGCCATTGCACTCCAGATAAGACAACAAGAGCAAAACTCCTTCTCAAAAATCAAAATAAAATGAAATCTTAAGGCCGCTAATCTAATCCTAGGATTCAAATTTCACAAAAGTAAGTATCCTGTTTTCCATTAGTTTATTGAAGTTTTAAATTTTAAAGTCAATGTTTAAAAATGTGAGAAAGTCTTTTTCATACCCTAGTCTTAACTCCATAAACAATCTAACCAAGATTGGCATTAATTAAAGTCTGTTTCATGTGTCATTTCTTCTCATGATAGAAACAACTTGTTCCAAACATTTAGCTTAATCTTTTTTCTTGCAGTTTTCTGAGTCTTCTCAAATTAATGGCAAATTTCTTTATCTCCTCATAATTTTACATTCTAGTGGTTTTCAAATAATTTGGCATGGCCAAGCAATGGAAAATCTAGTAAAGATGACAAAACACTAGTTTCAGCTACTGGGGGCAACTTGCGAAAAAGCAAGAAAAATCTTGATTTCTGTGTTGAAATGTTACCCAAAAACGCTGAAATTCCATGCTCTTGACTCCCTCTCCTCATTCTCAGTTACCTGCTCAGGCTCCTGTCGTCGGCTACTCAAGGGTTCAGTTCTCACTTAATTGTGCAGTCTTGGAAGCATAGTCTCCTTCAAATCCAGTTGATTTTATTTTCACTAGGGCGAACAGAATTCAGCAGACATAGATCTCAGATGAAACACCTCCTCATTAAGAAAACTCTCAGGCCTCTGTCTGCTGAATTCCTGAAAAATAGTAAAATGTTAAGCTTTGCTCCAGGCCTTAAATGGAAGGAAACCTACATTGTCCTGTAGGCTTGAAGTACTACCAAAAGAAAACAACACCGTTATATAAGAAGCCCTCTGCATCTGCGGGTTCCACATCTGTGGATTCAACCAACTGCAGATGGAAAATACTTCGAAAAATAATGAATGATTGATTGCATCTGTACTGAACAAGTGCAGAGCTTTTGTTCTTGTTATTCCCTAAACAATGCAATATAATGACTATTTACATAACATTCATGCTATATCAGGTGTTATAAGTAATATACAGATGATTTAAAATATGCAGAGGAAGCACATAGCTTATATGCAAATATTACACTATTTTATAGCAAAGACTAAATATCAGTGGCTTTTGGTATCTGAAGGTGATATTGTGGGAACCAATCCCCTGAGTATACCAAGTGATGAGTATACCTGAAATCTAGGTCAGTATCCCTGGGGCACCTATAGTTATTGATGTTCCAAAATGGCAAATTATTTGTATTATTTTACATGCTAAGTGAGTGATAAGAAAACATAATTGATAAATGCTAAAGTTCCTATCTAATGTATGTTATTTTAAACATACTTAAACATTAAAAAAAATAGTGTTTCTCAATTCCTTTTATGAGTGCCATGCAAATACATTGCCAAATTTTAAAAGCTGGTGAAAAAGTTAAATCTATAAACCAATTTAAGTATGAATGAGATGAAAAAATTCTCATTCAAGGATTACAAAAATCATCTGTAGTTAAGTACCTAAAAAAAACAGAACACTCATCTAACAGAAAGATCTGATTTTCTAATAGGAAACCACAAATCAGAGATTTTTCGCAGTAGTGAGCTTAACTAACAATTGCCGTGATGCAAACAAATAAAGGGCAGAGAGAGGCTTTGCACATCCTGCTGACTCCACAGATTGTTTCTTCCCATGTTGGACACATGCTATGTTCCCACTGGACATATACTATCTGACCCAAATAAAAGCGATTTTAAAATGAGGATTATAGATCACCTACCTGGACAGGCTTCTTAAGTTATTTAATATCTTCTCTTTCTTTTAACCCCAGAGAGTTGTTTACTTACGTGACATTCTTCAAGGAGACATGTCCCATAAATTCATATAGTGTAAATTTGTTTATCGTAGACAATTCTAAAATAGAAAAATCAGTGCTCAAAGTATTCAAGAGATGAGGAATTTTCTCCTAACAAACTTTCTAAGACTGCTTATCTAGAGGTTCAGGTGTCATTTTTGCAAGACTAAAAGACTAGAACTCACCTCCTTCCCCCAGAGGATCCAATCCATAGTAATTGGGGGAGAAATGAATTATAGCCCAGTTGTTTTAATTCATTTCTTTCAGTTCATTCTTCCAGATTTGTCAGTATCTTGTTACCTATATTTTCTTTCAATAATGTTTGACTTAGATAATTTTCTGCAATAATTCACCCTGAAGAATTAACCACCTAATACCCCAACAACCACCAGCCTTTGAAACATCCAATGGAAGAAGAGATATTCCTCCCACAAAGCATTAGGGCATGACTCTATCTTTTCCTTCATCTAAATGTTTTTACGGGCTCAGCCGGGCATGGCGGCTCATGCCTGTAATCCCAGCACTTTGGGAGGCTGAGCAGGGAACTGTATTTTGTTTTGTGTTTTGATGTATAACCACCTAGCCCACTTTAATTCTTCCTTTAATTCCCACAGAGATTTTCATAACTAATTACTTTATACAGGGGTGATCTTTATTATTTATATATCTAGAGCTTAATTCTTAATTTTTATTTTTATCTTATTTTCTTTTAGACAGAGTCTCACTATGTCACCCAGGCTGGAGTGCAGCAGCACAGTCATAGCTCACTGCAGACTTAAACTCCGGGACTCAAGAGATCTTCTCACCTAAGCCTCCAAAGTAGCTGAGACTATAGTTGTAAGCCACCATACTTGGCTAATTTATTCTTGTTATTGTTACTTTGCAGAGCCAGGGTCTTGCTATGTTGACCAGGCTGGTCTTGAACTCCTGGGCTCAAGCAGTCAGCCCACTTTGGCCTCCCAAAGATGTGGGATTACAGACATGAGCAACCATGCCTGGCAGGCTTATTTTCTTGACCATAGAGCAAAGACCTGGCTTTAGCCCCAAAATCTGTAATTTCCAAATGTCACCCGTGAAGGCTGAAACCGACATCTTCTAAAGCTCAGTTTAGAGTTTTTAACTGCCTGTTGGTGGTAAATTTGTCCTTACCTCCTTCCATTAAGGTTTCACTGTTTGCATGGTGAATTGCAGTTGATTTCCAAAGAGCAACATGGCCAACATTCCTTTACTAATACAGAGAACCTGCTTAGCCTTGCCTGGGAGCAGTTCTAGTGCTTTGATAGCATTGAGGGCAGCCATGTTGTTATCTCACAGGACATCCTTTTCAAATTTACGAGTGATCTGCTGTGTTTGTGTTGTCCCCTTCTTACTTGAATGTTTTTCCTTTGGGCATACACAGAAGATGTGATCAGTATTTGTGGCTTCAGAATCTTCCGTTATCTTATGGTAGTTGGGACAATTTTGAAAAACTGCCAGTAACAAGGTAGCAAGTTGTCCTTCAGATAGATTTTAATGGATAGCTGCCTTAAGAGTTTTCAGGTTCAAAACCGAAGAGGCCCTCCTGAATCACGAAATTTACTTTCTGCCAGAAAATCAGGTTTGTTTCTCTTTTGCAGATACTGCTATTATCATCTGAGCAGCTGAATCATGATGTCGCAGAGGTGACCTATACCTCTGCCAATCTTAATCCTGTTTAGGCCCCACTCAAATTCGGATTTTGTTCTAACTTCAACAATTCAACACAGAGCTAATAGAATAACATGGTGCCTTTTCCTTATGAAAACATTAAAACTTAAGCTAAACTCTTCTTTGACCAACATCCACAATTTCATTCTCTCTCTCAAATAATCATAACGGTAAGTTTGGCATGTATATTTATATCCAGTAGGACGTGCCAAAGGCTTTGATGCAAATTGGTAGGGATAATTCTAACTAATGGAATTTGGAAAAATATGGTGTGGATTGAAAATTTGTAAGTCTACCTAAAAGCATAAACCATTCTGGCAACATTTCAAATTTAAAAATTCTGTTTTTAGTAAAATTTTAAAATGTAAACATTTCTGAAAGACTTGACACTATTCCCTTAGCCTCATAGTTTGGCTAATTCTATTTAATGGCCCACATAGCAAATTCAATTTTACCTTCCTACCTAGTACTATACTAAATTATTCACATAAGTTGTATATGAAGGAAAATGCCAATTCCTAAGGCGCCTGGTGGAAGTTGAGGCCAGTATGCAAATATTCTTAAATAGCTGCATCATGCATACCAAATAAAATGTATTTTATAAGGCTGCAGGGTCCTCTTAAATAAATAGATCTGTTAAGCTAATAAAACATTGGTACAATAAAATAATCTATTTAACAGATTTCTGGTGTGTTTTGCTAAATTGCCTTGACAAATTTGCAATCATAGGGCTTGGAGTTTTCTAAAACTTAATGATTTGAGTCATCATCAGGGATATTTAAATTTTAATGTTCTTTTTAAGCAAAGACTCTCCAAATGTGAGAATGTTTTTTGCTTTAAAATAAAGTTTGACTACAGAGTTTGACTGTTCAAATCGCATTTGGAGACGGTTGGTCATTTATGTCATACTCATTAACTTGGCAGTATGGATATTGGGTGAGAAATTATGTTTTATTAAATAGAAAGTTTTGATCAATTAGTTCAACCAGTTAGTTTCATTTGTTATGATCCAGTTGTAAAATTAGAAATATTCATTTTCTACATTTATATTACAAGATTAAAAAACATAATGTTAATTGTTAAGTAATGTGTTTTGGCTATCAAAGGCTTTTGTTTGTCTTCTGCCAAGAGTCCAAAATGAAAGAGAAAAGCAATTTTGTACATTCTGCTTTACTGATATCTTTCCAAAACCACTGTTCCTTGAAATACGATTTTTAGCAAATGGTAACTGTAGGATTTTCTTGAAATGGCAACATGCAAGTTTGTATTTTAGGAAAATATTTAAAAATAATACTTAATTTGTGGCAATGTCCTTAATTAAGTCTTAATAAATTATGAGTACTATTGTTTATTTGTTTGTGAACAGAAAACTTGACGTTGTCCTATATCTTTTTTAAGATGTCTGTAAAAGAAGAATAAAATTAAGTACCACAAATTCTTTAGTCCATTTGACTCACTTCATTATGACTTTTGGCACAGAGATATGGCTAGATTTATACTGGATTTACACACAATTTTTATTGGATTGTTGGTTTTCCACTTATGATTTGGTTAGTAGAGTTGAGCAGGTGTTAAATCTTAAATATTCTTGCTTTCTTTATTTTCCCTCTAATCTTGAGAGGTTATGTTCAAATAGCCTTTCTTTCTTTAATGTTATTTTTCTTCCTATCAAATTGATCAAAGGTTTTTGAATCAGGAATTTCTGGTTATACATGATAAACTAAACACATGTATACTTTAGTAATTATGCTCAAATAACAAGAAGTGAAAAAAAAAGAAAGCTATACATTTAGACCAAATTGTCTAGGTCATATGGTTTGGCTGTATGCCCACCCAACCCTCACCTTAAATTTTAATAATCAACATGTGTCAAGAGTAGGACCAGGTGGAGATAATTGAATCATGGGGAGGTTTCCCTCATACTGTTCTTTTGATGGTGAATAAGTCTCCTGAAATCTGATGGTTTTATAAATGAGAGTTCCCCTGCACAAGCTCTCTTACCAGACACCATGTAAGATGTGACTAGGAGCAGTACAGTTCTTTTACTTCCTCAGTTCGGCAAGTTCCAGGTTCTTGTTCTGCAGCCCAGAGGAATAAGGTATGTGGACACTGGAGAGTGAGTAGGTAGAACAGAATTTTACTGAGCAGCAGAAAGGTCTCAACAGGGAGAGGGGACCTGAAAGCAGGTTGCCATTTGTAAGGCTAAGTCCAGGATTTAGGGCTTAGAATAAGGGAATACATGCAGATTGGTCCATGGATGGGCTTGGAAAAGGCTCCATCCGATTACTTAAAAGGCATCATTCAGGAGGATTCAACTGACAAAGGGTAAGATGGGAATGGAAGTTCTCCTGTCGCTATAAAAATCTATCAGAAAGAAGAACAAATATACTATAAAATACACATATAAGTATTACAATATATAAATATTTCTGTTTAATATAATATAAAAACATGTAGAAATATAATATATAATTGTGTCATAATATTTAATAATTTCATTTTAGTTAAGAATAAAATATTTCTGAAATATATTTATAAAATTAAAAAGGGAGCTTTAAAAAAGAAAAGGCTGGCCAGATGTCATAGCTCCTGTCTATAATTTCCACACGTTGGGGACCCAAGGTGGGCGGCTTACTTGTGCATGTATTATTTTTTTTGCCACTGTTGACATTAAAGACTGGCTGGGCTCTGACTTCGGTAAGATTTTGGGGTTTGGGGGAATGAAGTGGTTACAATTAAGGAGATGGTAATGTCAGGAAGTCAAGCCTATGTTTCAGGATTATTACTTTCATACTGAAGTGAAATGTATACAATGTTAAGAGTTCACTGAAAGGCTTTTATGTCCTTTGAGTACAATAGATAATTATCATTATGCTAAAGACTGCCTATGAGAGCAAAGTTCAAATACTTGAAAAAAACTGTTTATATAGCTTTCATTATTTCTCATTGCATAATCTTCATATTATTTGGTTTGTTTACAAAGAAATACTTATTTTTGTAAAAGCACACTGATAATAGTACTCCTCAAGAGAGCAAGCTTAGTACATTTTTGGCTTTCATTGAAATTGATGGGCAAATTCTACACCAGCATCTAGGAATTTTTTTAAGCTGTAATAAAAGAATGACTGAAGCCTCAGCTGTACAAACACGGGAAGACAAGCCCTAAGAACTTGTGGGGTTATTTGCATGCAGCTTATGTTGTAATTCTTAGTAATACATTTGACTTTTTGCACTCTCTGATGGTAGTAAATTTTATTCCTGCTGACAGCAAAAGTAATTGCTTTGAACATTATAACAGGGATTATTGAAAAAGTTTAACAAGGTTTTCTTACCCTGCTTCTGCAGACTTTGCATTTCTTTTTACATAAATAAATAGGAAAAGGCAGAAACAACCCCTGTGGTTGAAAAATGGGATGTTGATTAAGTGCAATACTGCTCTTTTCTATGTGAGAAAATTCCTTCATTATCTTCAATTATTTTGCATTATGGAATTTTTTAGCAAGTTTTATAAAATCCAGATAGATCACCCTTCTTTCTCTAATCCCTACCATTTTGAAAATCTGCTCTGAATATTAAAATTATGCAAAACAAAAAGCAAACAAAAAACCCACCAATGATGGTAGAAGTGATAACTTCAGTCCCTGACCAGTCTCCAATATCTGCAGCCTTCCCGTTTCGCCAGCTCTGCCATTTGTATTTCACATGTACCATCAGCCATATTTTATTCTCTACATTCATTCATGATTTGATTGAGGTGAACTGTGTGAACTCAGAGACATTACTCTGAGGCTGAATATTCAACCAGTTCGTCTCCATCTGTGACTGCAATTTCTGTCTGTGTGTGTGTTTGTTTAGTGACTTCCTTCACTAGTTCTTTCTAGATACCTTCTATGTTTCAATATTCAGGGCTTATCAGATCCTCTAGGAAATAATAATTATTTAGTTTTGTGAATAGCAATCTGTGAAATATTTAAAGGCAAAGGCCATTTAGCTCTTCCTCATTTATTCTATTCCTTGGTAAGTATTAGTAAATCATAGAAACCTACAAATATTTGCTGAAATAATATATACATAGTTGACAAAATTCCCTGCAGATTTAGTAAAGAAATTTGGGGAATAGACACAGCCTCCTGAGTTTTAAGGTCCCTCTGAGCTTCTGTTTCTGTGGTCACATGACTCGCTAAGAAGGGCATGGGAGGGTTTGAGGGAGGGTAATCAGGGATCACCATATTATATTTCTTCTGCTTCAAAGACCGTTTATTTGACTTATCTTTTCAAATGCCTTCTTTCCATCAATAGACTCCATGGTCCATGAGCTGAAGAAAGTCTCAATTTTTAATCCATCCCTGTAGAGATTAAATGTGTCATACATGTCAAATGCCTAGAACATGTCTAGTCCATAAAAGCAGTCGATTCTAAAACACATGACTATGTGTTTTACAAGAAAGGATCGATTACTCATTCTGCATGAAAGATTTGGGGAGATGTCACAAAGAATCCCTTCACAGACAAACATGAGAGGGGAAAGCCTCGGGAAAGACACGAAGAGCATGTCTGTGGCAGGTTTTCAGTGCAGGATCTATAACACACACTTTGAATTCCAATCAAAGGGACTTTATATTCAGTCCAAATAAACCAACAATTATTTACTGCTTACCATGTTTGATATACAATGTTAGGAATGTAAATAAACAATGTTTATTATGTTATAGTGTATTATTTGAGACATTTTTTTGCACCAAGATGTGACTTCTTCAAGTATCAAAATCAAGATTGATATTTTTGTATCAACAGTAGCTCACAAAGTTACTAGCATTTAGTAATGCTGAATGCATGTTTGTTGAAATCATGTTAGATTAATAATACCACAATTATTCAAACAAATCTCCTATGTCACAGAAAAACAATATAGCATCCTGTAAATTGTGAAGTTTTCTTTGCTAAGTGGTACTGGGGAAATTTCACCCAGGATATAAAAGTATTTGAGTATGTTTTCCTGACTTAATGATGATTGATGAAAGTAGACTAAGTCTGCAAAATTTGTCAGGTTTTTATACTTCATGTAATTCACAAATAATCTTCAAGATTTTTTATACTTCATGTAATTCACAAATAATCTTCAAGATTTTTTATACTTCATGTAATTCACAAATAATCTTCAAGAACAAGAAAATAATAGATTTTCTTTGTTCTTCCACCAGACAGCATTAAAGTCAAACCCCACTAAATGATTGGAAACTGGGAGCAAGTCTTTAAAGTATGTTTACTGTTATTATGAATCAATTTTCCAATGTCAAATAAAACAGTTCTGTTAAAATAACTTTGTACATAAAGGAAAGGAAGATATTACAGCTATAAACCAAATAATTTTTTGAAAAATAATATTACATGAGTTCAGTTTTAAGCCCTTCAGGGCTGTAGCGATCTTTGGTTATTTAACTTCACTTGGAAACTTATTTCCAAATTGCCACTAACTCCCATCTTAACTCTAGTATTTCACAGATGTATCTACTTTAATGGACTCTTCTTCCTATATTTGTCAAATATAGTTAACTTTCCCCAGATCCATATTAATAAAGACTGTTAACTCCTTCTCCTGAAGACCGAGAAACTGTTTATTCCAAATTAATGACACAATTACATATACATAGAAACCACCTATTAAAGATTTATTAGTGGAGTAGAAATTTCAATTTCTGTAGTTTTAAAGCCCAGAAGCAGCTAATAACCAAATGAAACATAAAAAACAGAATGCCTAAAAGGGTTTGGTTTCTTCCTTGCAGATATGATATTTGTAGTCACAAGTTTACATGAAATTAATCTGACAAGGGTCACTGTCAGCTTTCTTTGAGTGTGCTGTTGAATACATCTTTAACATATTTTGTTATTATTCTTATCCTTCATATGATCCTGCTAAGGGTTATCTTGTGAAATTTTGACTAGTATAGTTGTGCGTTCTAGAATCAAATTTGAGGAATTATTTGTGGATATAAAATGGCTCCAGGCTGTTACAAGCCTTTGGATCTTGCCTCTGCCCTTTATTGTATTTACTATACCTCCACCTTGTGCTTGTCAGAGTTGAGTATCACGCCCTTTGTATCTTTGTTGTGATTATTAATGAACATGTTGAACTGGGCAGGTCCAAAGAGAGAACCCTGTGTCCTCACATGCAAGACCTCCAGCTGGTTGACATCCTTCTCTGTGATAGAATAATAAATTAGACAGTTCAATCAATATGTTTGATTTGCTTCCATGTTGACACTGTTTAGATAAATGAGGAAAAGTGGATAATCTGGAGAGATGGCTCAAGAACTGACGCATTCTAGTGAGTTTCTAGATAGGGTTAATGCATAAGAAATGACTATACATGAGACACAGCAGTCTACGTACTCACAGTTCTGAGGCCAGTCTGACTGATGGCACCAGGTCTCCATGTCTCCTCTCATGTCTCCTCCTCTCAGAAATGGCTTTTTCTGAAAGTATCCCCTGGCTACTTCCTACTCATAATACTTGATTAGGGCTGGGTATAGTGATTCACACCTGTACTTTGGGAGATAGAGACGGACATATCATGAGGTCAGGAGTTTGAGGCCAGCTGACACTATCTTTACTAAAAATACAAAAATTGACCAGGCATGGTGGCAGATGCCTGTAATCCCAGCTACTTGAGAGGCTGAGGCAGGAGAAACACTTGAACCTGGGAGGCGGAGGCTGCAGTGAGCCGAGATCGTGCCTGGGTGTCAGAGCAAGATGACATTTAAAAAAAAATAAGAAAAGAAATTGATTAGATGCCTCATATATATTCACATAAGACACCCTGAAATGTCATTCTTACTTCCTTATCATATTTGTTTTATCTACATTTCTCCACTTCAATCTGAGATCCACAAGAAGCATCTTGCTCGTTGATTGTATCTCCAGCTGCTAAAACTCTGTAGTTCAATAAAAGTAAAGTGATATCACAGATTCATTTCTACCTTCAGATCAATAAAATAAAGTGCAGCTTCTTTATTCTTTATGACCTATTTGATTTTTCCTAAGAGTTGTTTGCCGGGCACAGTGGCTTATGCCTGGTAATCCTAGAACTTTGGGGGGCCATGGTGGGTGGATCACAAGCTTGGGAGTTCGAGACCAGCTTGACCAACATGGTGAAACCCCGATTCTAGTAAAAATACAAAAATTAGCCAGGCATGGTGGCACATGCCTGTAATCCCAGCTACTTAGGAGCCTGAAGCAGGAGAATTGCTTAAACATGAGAAGCAGAGGTTTTTGTGAGCTGAGATCCTGCTACTGTACTCCAGCCTGGGCAACAGAGTGAGACTCTGCCTTAAACAAACGAAAAAGAAAAACACAATGAAAAACAGCTGTCATTTCACTGGTGACAGCCAGATTTAAGCCTGGTCTTGAAGAATTCCTCATTCATTTTCAAGTATAATTCCTCAGTCTGCTAGTGCCCTACTAGAGCTGGCTTTAATAGCATCTTCCAGATGAATAATTGTCTTCATGCTGTGCACATCATGTTTTACCATCTCCTCCCTATAATAGTGGCTGGGCTAGTGAAAAACTTGGAGTCCTGATTAGCATTTGGGAAATGGTGGTCTTCTAGTTCATAAAGTGATCTTTCATTCTCATTGGTCTCAGTGGGGTGGCTAATCTGATGCTTCTCCTATACTGGCTGACCCAGTGTTTGTCCTAAATAGCCTTGGGAGCTGATACGCTTGCACCCATGGCTGGAGCCTGTGGTCTGAGCTATTTGTTCTTGGTTGCAAACACCTTGTTGATAATGTTCTCTTTGTCATAACCCCAGGTCTTTGAGAATCTACCAGACTTCCTAGTAACCTGTATCCTTTCACTTGAATATTCAGACACCTTTAGGTTTTCTGAAAACCCTAAGGAATCCAGGGTACTTCTGAGATTCATCTAAATATTTGCCGCCAACACCTTCTGCTCTACCATTCTATTGTGCTTTATTGGGACATTAGCATCTAGCAGCATTTTCTTTTAATCCCCTTGAGGAATGACTCCAGCTAATCCAGCTCTGTATCTTCTTCCCAGCTCTTCACATCTACCTACCTGAATGTTTCCAATGACTCCCCTCTTGAAACTCAACTCCAGGTGTGTTGTGAATGAAGGGGTATCATTATGTTTCAAAACCTTTCTTCCGTCCTCATTGTTCTTTCTCTTTCTACTCTGGATCTGTAGTGACATCATTACTTAGATTCCGGAGCTTGCATGTTGCCTTAAGTAACACCCCTTCTTCCATTAGACTTGGTTTACTGCAATCTTGCTAACATGGTCCGATGTATTCTTAGAGATTCAAAGCTGAAGAATGACAGATAATTTTTGAGTCAGACTTTTGTTCACCTCTCACCTGAGGGTAAATAACCTCAAGCCTCAGACTTGAATATGGGACATTCCCAAAAATATAATTAAAGAGAAACTGAAGGTGCATTGCATAACTTTTATTACAAAAGAGTGAATAAATGAATAATAAAATTAGGGGCTTAAGGCACCTCCCCCGGGAAACACTCCGTATCTCCTAAGTAGAAGGGTTTTCCTTCAGTACTTCACAGTACTCCTAATTTGTTTTTCTATGTTTTTCATTTTTTTTTTATTGTACTTTAGGTTCTCGGGTACATGTGCAGACACCTGCATAGGTACATGCATGGCAATGTGGTTTGCTGCCTCCATCCCCCCGTCACTTATATCTGACATTTCTCCCTATGTTATCCCTCCCCTACCTCCCCACATCCCTGCTGTCCCTCCCTTGGCCTCCCCAAACAGATCCCAGTGTGTGATGCTCCCCTCCCTGTGCCCATGTGCTCTCATTGTTCCACACCCGCCTATGAGTGAGAACATGCAGTGTTTGATTCTCTGTTCTTGAGTCGACTTGCTGAGAATGATGGTTTCCAGGTTCATCCATGTCCCTACAAAGGACACAAACTCATCATTTTTTTATGAGTATTTCATGCATAGTATTCCATGGTGGGAGACAGTGTGGTGATTCCTCAAGGACCTAGAAATTGAAATTCCATTTGATCCAGCAATTCCACTACTGGCTATATACCCAAAGGATGATAAATCATTCTATTATAAAGGCACATGCACACGTATGCTCATAGCGGCACTGTTTCTAATAGCAAAGACCTGAAACCAACCCAAATGCCCATCGACGATAAACTGGACCAGGAAAATGTGGCATTTTTCCATTTTATACCATATTTTTTAGTTATACTGGTTTATATATCTATGTTTTCAAATAAACTGCAAAACTTACTGGAGGACTGGAAAGTCATTTGATTCATCTTTGAATACACAGTAGATAAGAAGCACAGTATCTAATATAGAACAATGATTGATAAATATTTTATACTGCATGTATGAATTCAATTAATTAAAGGAATCATTCTACTAATTTGGACATGGTAATGAAACATTTATCTTTCAAAGATACTTGGCCAGTGAAATGAACTGATACAGTAGACATCTGGACATACAGAATTCAGATTGATATAATTAGGCTGAAATGACAGCATTATGTGAAACTTTCTTACCTGGATCACAATCAGGTTGTGTATATGAATTAATTAATTAATTAATTACCTGATTAATATGGAAGATAATTATTTACCTACCAAAAAATATAGTCATTTAAAAAAATGAATAAATCTATCTAAAACTATTCTGCTCACACCTAGGCGCAATGGTGAAATACTGTCAAAAGCCAACTCTAAAGACCAAGTGCATTATTCATACCAAATACATAAGTGCAGGGTGCTCATTTAACACTTAAGGGTAGTACTCACTCAGAGAAGAAAGGCATACCTTAAGGGAGCTAAACCTAATCAGATACTTTAAAGTCATTTAAAGATAATTTATTGGCATCCAATTCAGGAAATGCAGCAATGTTACCAAGATCCAATTGCCCAGAATGATGGCGAGTCTACATGTTGCTCTGCTCCAAATAACAGAGGCATGCTCATGGAAGCTATGCTGAAAGAGAATTAGAATAAACTGGCTGCATAATGAAGAGAACATGCAGTGCTATGGCAGGAAATTAAAGGGAATATGGATTCAGCTGGTACTGTTTACAGATCAGAAGCATGTATTTTTGTGCTACATCTACCTTGTGACGTTCCAAATAGAACATGCGGTATCAAGTGATTTTCCTATTCTCAAAATAGAGATATGAAAGAAAGAGGGATTACAATTTCCTTTTTATTTCATTCTTTCTAATGTTATCTTTTGGGGATTACGGATGATAGATGTTGATACATTGAAAGAACCAGGTTAGAAGGAATGATTCTTGAAACAGAAAAATGAGTGATTTATCCAGCTGTGCACCTGAAGACTGGGAAAATACTGATGATGCTGTGGTCTGAGCTTAGAAATGTTCGTTCTGATAGATCAGATATATACTGGAATCATGCAGAAAAGAGAAAAGCTATGTGCAGTCTGTAGCAAATGTCATATTTGGAATGTCAAATTGGCATTTTTATGAACATACTACTTACTTGGAAATAAAATTAAAGAAAAAGAAATATACGCTACAGATTTTTCTCCTAGACTGCGCCTACATATATTGAATATATTTACTATTTTTTGATAAATGAAATATATGTTTAAATCTTCTGCTTGGCTACTATATGGTACAGTGGGTCTTTCAGCAAAAACTGATTTGGGCAGAAGGTGACAGATTCACTGCAATGGGAGTGTCATTGCACGGAACAACCTGAGACTAGCTTTATAGCATTGATAAAAATGAGCAATGCATAAACTCTGTGTCCTGAGGTCCTTTCAAAGTGTCTGGTGAAACTACTTACTGCATATAAATGTTTCCTGAATTAAATTATGAACAAATAGCTGAAGTTTTAGTAAATTAAATGTTGCAATTTGTCTTAAAAATAATGAAAGAGCAAGTATTGTTGATGGGAATTTAGACTGCACTCTTGAGAGTGCCTACTTCATGCATTACACATCTATTTCTTTTTCAATATTGAATACACTCACTAATATTGTTTTATTAAATGATCACTGGCAATATGAGTTTCCTTAAACCATAATGGCAGTTCTTGTGTCCTCAGGCTTTTGTTAACTAACCCAATATGATGTGACCTCAATTCCATAAATTAATTTTCATGATAGTTCCCCTCAAAAAACTGTCATGATGTGTCTTAACAATTCGGTTGAATATTATAGTGTCCAGTAGATTGATACATTGCATTTATTCTTTAGTACCAGAAAAAATGAGCTTCCTTAAATAACTAATATAAGCTTTTATTAAAAATCAGATAATGAGAATTGTATAATCTATCATGTTTCCATTTTTATCCAGGCTACCAAAATACAGTTAACTAAGTTTACTGGCCAAGTATGTCAACTAGTTAAGCACATATTGATTTATTTTTATCACGTTATTTGACATGTTTTTTTAATACGGTATTTTCACAGTACACTGAGTATCACAAGGCATATGTTTTAGTAGGTCCTGAATAGCCACCCAGATGTTGATAGGACATTTTCCATTTTGAAGACAGGAAATCAGTTTGCTTGAATGGACAGAGTATATCTGAAGGAAGTCTTAGTGCTTGGGAACAAGGAAAGGTGATCCACTAACCATTGTTTGGCAGAGAGAAAAAGGTTTGTATCTTGATCAATGGGTAGGCTCTCTAAGAATTATGTAAAATATATTCTCCATGGCAAACTATTTGTAAAACGTTTAAGTAACAAGCAGATGCTGAAAGTACATGATTCAAGTAAGCAATCATTCAAGAAGTAAAATCGTTTAATGATCATGTCCTCACATGGCTCCCAATCACTGCTCCATCACTGCAGAAGACTTCATCTAAACATATATATATGTAAATATACACATGCACACATATATACGCAAATATTGGTATATGTGTATTTGTACATGCATATGTATACATGTATAGGTACATATGTGCATATATTCAAATATATATGTATATACACATTCACACATTGTCTATATATATGCACATGTATATATATATGCACATACATGTATAAATGTAAATACATATATACGTATACACACACAAACATATACAAACATACACATTTAAAATCACTAAAACAAGACCTTGCCAAAAACTATTTGAACTGCCTTTATAATTAAAGGACAAGGAGAATATGGATTGGAAATGATGAGGTGAAAGTATATTCTAGGCAGAGAAAATAGTAAAGCCAGTGGTTCTCAAAGTATGTTCCATGGACCTCAGGGGTCCACGAGATTCTTTCAGGGAGTTTGCAAAGTAAGAATTATTTCATAATAACACTGAACTCTTGTGTGCTCTTTTTAACGTGTTGACATTTGACATGATGATGCAAAAGTAATGTGAATATAGCAGCTCATTCTACAGTCCAAATAAAGACAGTGCTATTAAGATGCACTTACTGAATTCTTCACCACCAAAGTTAAAAGAAGACAAGAGTTTAAGATCATCTGAAAAAAAGAAGTAAAACATAAAATTATCAATACCATTAAACCTCGGCACTTGAGTGTATGTCTTTTTAATATTTTGTGACAAAACAGAAACTACTACCTATCAAAATACTTTTTTTTGTTGTTGTTCTTCACATCAAGGCACTTGTATGTTGATTTGTTTGAGTTAAACTAGACATTCTTTTTTTTCAAGAAACAATTTTCATTTAAAAGTGTTATTGGTACATAAACTTTGGTCTAAGAAAATATCATGCATTTCTTTGAAAATGAATCAGATGAGCTAGAAATACGTATTTAGAAGTTATAAACAGGTTGGCTGTGGTGGCTCATGCCTGTATAGCACTTTGGGATGCTGAGGTGTGCAGATCACCTGAGGTCAGAAGTTCAAGACCAGCCTGGCCTCATGGTGAAATGTCATCTCTACTAAAAATGCAAAAAATAGCCGGGTGTGGTGGCAGGTGTCCATAGTCCCAGCAACTCAGGAGGCTGAGGCAGGAGAATCACATGAAACCAGGCGGTGGAGGTTGCAATGAGCCGAGATCATGCCACTGCACTCCAGCTTGGGTAACAAGAGCAAAACTCCATCTCAAAAAAAAATGTTATAAGCATAGAAATGATTTTTAAAACTATAAGAGTAATGTCATTGCAAGAGTGCAAAGGGATACAGAAGAAAAGGAGTCAAAATCTAAATTGGGAGACTTAAAAATTGAATAGCTACTCTCACTTGAAAGAAAACTAGCCAAATATGTTGTCAATAATACAATTCATATATTCATATTTTAAACAAAAATCAGAATTTTAGGAAACTTGGATCTGCTACCATAAGGCTTAGAGCTTCAAAATACTTAAAGATAATTTTGATAAAATTGGTGAGGATGTTCATAAGATCATTTAAAAAAAATTTATAATGAAATATTCCAACATTTGTAAGATCTGCATAGTTTAATAAACCTACATTTTCCAAATAACTAACTCCTGATGGCACAAAACATGAAGAGATATAAATGTATTCAAAGTACAGCATAAACCAAGAGATGTTAATGTGCCAGAGGGAAAAAAATTCACATTGTTTATTGTAGAGGTTTGGTAGAAGAATATTGACAATTATCTGAAAAGACTTTTAAAATACTTTTGCCTTTTCTAGTACTTCTCTGCGTGGTGCTCAATGTTCAGTATATATTTCTACCAAAACAATGTATTACCACAAACTAAATGCAAAAACAGATATTAGTATCTAACTGTCTTTTGTTAAACCAGTCTATTAAACCAGATTTTAAAGAAACTAGCAAAAATGTAAAATAACTCTTCTGCTCACTACTTTACTTTGTTTTAGAAAACTACACTTATGTGTATGTATGTGTGTATGTGTGTGTGTGTGAGTGTGTGTGTATATATATATATACATATATACATACATATATATATATATATTTTTTTTTTTTTTTTTTTCTTTGAAAGAGTGTTGCTCTTTCGCCAGGTTGGAGTACAGTGGCGCGATCTTGGCTCACTGCAACCTCTGTCTCTGGATTCAAGCAATTCCCTTGCCTCAGGCTCCTGAGTAGCTGGGACTACAGGCACGCACCACTATACCTGGCTAATTTTTTGTATTTTAGTAGAGATGGCGTTTCACCATGGCCAGGATGGTCTTGATCTCCTGATCCACCCGCCTCGGTCTCCCAAAGTGCTGGGATTACAGGCGTGAGCCACCGCACCCGGACCACTTATGTATATTATGTAAAACTTTGATAGATCTATCATTATTATGTTTTAAAGTATTAATAAAAATACAATTTAAAAAATTAGCTTGTAGCCTGGTATTATGATTTAGCTTACATAAATTAAGTTTCGGAGGATCTTTCTCAATTATTTTTAAGATAATTTTTGATCATGAGGTCAAAATTATTGAAAATGACAGATACAAACAAAAGAAGAATAGAAAGTGCGAAAGGCATGTTAGTGAATAACAATGGCTCAATTGTCTTACAGTATCCACTATGCACAGGATAAGACTACAGATGTCTTTGAGTTAGGTCATCATTGGGGCTGAACACCAGGCTATAAGCGTTGAAAACATTGCGGAAATGTATTCACACAAGGAGCCGTAACACATGCTAATGCTTAGACCTCCTTAGTCAAAGTCAGTGGCATGCCATATATTCCTTGGAAGCAAATAATGTAGTAAATCCTCAGCATATTTAGTGAACCATATTCTTGTGTCTAATGAAAAATTAATTTATAAAAATAATTTATATAATGAAATGTACAAGCAAAATGAAGACTCATCTATATAAAATATATATCTGGGGCCGGGCGCCGTGGCTCACGCCTGTAATCCCAGCACTGTGGGAGGCCGAGGTGGGTGGATCACGAGGTCAAGAGATCGAGATCATTCTGGTCAACATAGTGAAACCCCGTCTCTACTAAAAATACAAAAAAAAAAATTAGCTGGGCATGGTGGCGCATGCCTGTAATCCCAGCTATTCAGGAGACCGAGGCAGGAGCATTGCCTGAACCGAAGAGGCGGAGGTTGTGGTGAGCCAAGCTCGTGCCATTGCACTCCAGCCTGGGTAACAAGAGAAAAACACCGTCTCCAAAAAAAAAAAAAAAAAAAAAAAATATATATATATATATATATATATATATATGGAAAACTTGCCAACAAATTACTAAGGGGATATGAGTCTCTGTGCTTATTACTGGCACTTTTAATTTAGATGAGAAAACAGGCATATTTTCTGAGCTCCCTCCACTCCTATAAAGTTGTGATATATACCATTGTACTTGGCTGCAACATACAAGTACATACAATAATATTTTTTTATATACCAATACGAATAATATTTTTCTACCTATAAATTTAGCCTTGTTAAAATATTAAAATTTTAAATGGAAAATAATCGAGTCTATTAAATAAATACATCACAGATTTAAAACTTTATACTGCTTCTGCAAGTGTGGTGGCTTCTAATTTTAAAATCCACACCCAATTTTTATTAGTTTTGAGTTTTCTCTGTTTTTCTTCATTTAACTTAAAAACGTTAATTTTCCAGGACTCTCTTGGCATTCAAGTTGTCTTCCGTACTCTTATGCTATTTTCCCCCTGAAAATCGACCTTTGAAAATTCTATTAAAATAGCATATACACAATATGTCAGCTGAAACTTGAATTAAAGTTTGAAATTAATTCCTGAAATGTAAAAGAAAAAAGTGCTGACTGAGTAAGACTCCACACAGTGAGAAACAAATAGAAAAGTGTATTTAGTTACTCTGGAAATAGTTTCTCTAACGAGGAAATGATACATGATATTTACCTTCACATACAGCAAATTAAAATTGTTCTCATTTTTGCTGTTTATCCCACTGCAGTATGTCTTCCTCTTTAATACCTTTTCATATTACAACACCTGAGTGGAAAGAGATTTACATTTTACAAACCATGATGGTGAGTTGGGAGGGGTTCTGAAAAAGTTGGTCTTTTCCACAATGGGGAGTGGTTAGGTTGTAATAAAACAGAGAAACTACACTCAGTTTGTTGTGGGTGGGTGCTCAAATAATCTTATATCCTAAGTAAAGATTAATAAAACATTTTATAGCATTATGAGGGTAAAATATTGTGATAAAATGTGTTATATGCATGTTGGTAAAGATATGATGGGAGGTGCTGAAACCTGATTTCCCAGAGACTAAGTCTCAGAGGTTTTGCTAAAAGGGATTGTGGTGTGTATAGAAGATCTTGGTGGAGACCCTAACCTTGTTTCTTATGGTGGCAAAATGTAAGTTAATTAAGTTTCCAGGCCTAGGGATGGTTCTGTGGCCACCTGTCTTTCATACTCCAACTCGACACAGCTGACTTTCTGAAGGGAGCGCTCCTTTAGCTGATTTGATTTATTATATGATGATTCTTTTCCTCAGCTCAGAAACAAAAAAAGGCTCACATTAGGTGAGAGGATTTAAAGGTCTGTTTTCCTTTTGTTTTCAATTCCCTGGTTTTACAGAAATAAATAGTAAACAAATCTGACATTTTTAAGACAGCATTATATAAACAATAAATACAACATACCCTTGAAAAACTAGAAAATATTTTTTGCCCAACTGAGTCTCAGTAAAAATTAATACTTTTTTGATAGCATTATGAGATTAAAAAGGAAGAAAATCCATTTCATTTGTTATGACTATTATAATGTTCTGTAGCTTTAAAAATTATTGTTCTTCGGCTATAGTCCCGGGTAGATAATTTCATATAGTGGGTAGGTATTTTTTTAATATTGAAATGCCAAAGAGGTAAGCTTTGGCAGGGGTGAGAAGGTGGTGAGGAAAATAGAATTTAATTTAATTTTTCTCTGATATTAAAGGAAATTAGGCAGCCATTAGATAAGAAATAAAATTATTTAAAATGACCATATGAGGACTATAAATAAATATGATTTTTTGATAGTATTTGCTGAAGGTTTCAATCTGTGAAATGTTTACTCTTTCTGTTTCCATGTTACCAAGTGACCAGTGGAACACATGGTACTGATATCCTTCATATATATTAGTCTCTGATGTCTTGTGAGGTTCATGCCGTTTGCTGTTTAATCATGACTACTGATAGTTGAGAACTTAGTGGGCTCCACAAATGGCAGCATTACTTCTACACATAGCACTCTCAAAACAAGTAAAGGTTATATAGACAGAGCTAAAATTTAACCTCTATTGTGACCCTATTCTGTCTTTATGCTCAGCATTTTTCATGGAAGAAAGGGATAGACAAAGATCCCTCTGTATTCTTCCTCATATTTCCAAAAAGTTTCTTGAGAGGATATTTTTGCTGTAGCATTAAATATTTAAGCATGATATGAGGAAGACAAGGTATATCCTTTGGTGGAATTGCCAAAGAAAATAATGAAGATTTTGAATCACACATTTTATGCATGCATTCTTTGCCTTGTCATTGCTTTCTACCTCATAGAGACTTACTTTCCTTAAAGTGACTTCAACACCTTCTGTAACACCTATGTTAGAAAGCATGATTCAATGTATAAATGAATAGATGAAATAAATAAAAATGGCATAATATAGGATGGAATATTACATAGCCATTAGGTAGTATGTTTCCAAGAATTATCATGTGACATGAAAAATACTTATGTTTAAGTAATCCATAAAATATAAGCAAGAAATAAACCTGCAATAATAAGAACTGAAACAACGAAAATATTCGCTAACATTTACATAGCGTTGTTTCAGTGCTAGGGACTGTTATGCATATTGCTATACACCAACTCACATAATTCTCTCAATGCTGTACTGAGACACGAATAACTCCATTAGCCTGTCTGTTTCACACAAAAACTAAGAAGCAGATTTAAATATAAGATGTTTGATTACAGGTGTACCTTGCAAACCTTCATGAAAATATTCAGATTTTATTCTGAGAAAGATGGAAAGCCATTGGCAGAGTCTGAGTAAGCAGAGGAGTGATATGGACAGGCATGTTTTAAAAAGAGTAACTCTTAATGAAATCTATTAGTGGGAGTGTAGGGTGGGGCAAAAATAGAATAAACAAGATCCAGTTTAATGGCCTACGAATAGGAGATTGCTATGGTTTAAAATATGGTGTTAACAATGGAGTCATTGAGAAAATCAGACTCCACATATACTTTGAGTGCATAATCAATAGAACATGGCAGAGTCTGTGAAAGAAATTCGGGAGTCAAAGATTAAGGTTTGTATTTGGCCCGAGCTACTGGAAGCATAGACTTCTCTTTCCTGTACTTATCTAAAAGCTGCTACCCTGCCATAAAAGTGAAATGACATCTTAAAGGAACATATGTGATGCTCACTTGAAGCTAACATCTTTGAAGCAGTCATTGTATCATGATATTTCCCCAAGAGGAAGAATACATAGCTTTAGAAACCAAGTGGTAAGAGTGGAAGTGTTTTGTTCAGCATCACTCTCAGTGATCTCAGTGATCCATTTCAAGTGTCTGGGGATCCAGTCCCAGTAACTTTAGGCTTTGTAGAGCTCAAGGTCTTGGTTGTCATCAAGCAACTCTTCCATCAGGAGGCATAGTAAGATATCCATTAAACTTAAAGCTGTGGTAGCCACTTGAACACATTGAAGCCCTCATGCCAGAGGCCAGAAGGCGAGGAGTGTTAGTCAAGAGAAGGGGAACCTAGAATGAGACCTGGAGGAGGGAGATGACATTTTTAACTTAAAGATCAAATGTGGCAGCAGGGAACTTTCTTTGACCCACAAACTCTACTTTTGTGAGTTTTCCTAGAAACCGTTATTAGCTCAATTCCAGAAGACATAGTGCCTTTATGAAGTAAACTTAATGAAAGAAATAAGTTGAAATTAAATAAAAGAAAGTTGATCTGAATGTACAAAAGATACGTAGTTATAGCTATCATTGGTGCCCTGGCCAGATCACCTTGCCAAGTTTATGCATACACCCTTTAGCTATGCTAACAATACATAGCTGCCATCTTCTCTGGTGCCTGCCTACAGTCCAAAGAGAACTGTCTCATTCTGGAAGAGGGTACACTCCTGACTCCAGATTAGGCAGCGGCAGAGGGCCGCGACCCTGGTCAGGAACTTGCTCTTGTGATTTGTACTCCAGTGTTCCCTGTGGGATCAAATAGAATCTATCCTCAGTTAAACAGCCTATATTCTTAGTATTGTATCCTCTTGATTTCACATCCTTTATCTGAAAATACTCCCTCAGTAAATCACTTTTCCCAGGCTTTCTGGAGAACACATCCTAATATGGGGCAATTAATGTTAATGACAAGATGTAGGGAAGATCCATCTGAGAGAGGCTTCCCTTAAGTATGTTGCTGAGTAGAAGCCCTTGTGTAACAAGGGTGCGTTCTTCCAAAGCTTATATGCTGAAACGCTGCCACCTCATGTGATGGTAGTAAGGCATGGGGTCTTTGAGAGGTAATCAGGATTCACTGAGGTCATGAGACAGAACCCTCATGATTGGGTTAATGTCTTTATCAGAATCCCCATGGAACTTGGTTACTCTCTCTACCATGTGAGGACACAGAAAACAGATAGCCATTTCTGAAGTGGGAAGTAAGCCCTCCCCAGACACCAAACCTGCCAGTTCCTTGATCTTGAGCCTCCTATCTTTCAGAACTCTGAGAAACAAATTTCTGTTAGTTGTAAGCCACTCAATTCATGATATGTTGTTATGGCAACCGAAACAAACAAAGGGAGAATCCAACATCCATTCTCTAAGAAAGCATTTGATGACTGCATAAGAAAGGTATAAACAAAGTTCTACGTGAAAGCAGAAGAGCAAATTGGTTTTGGCTGGGTGAGACGGGGAGGAGATGGGGTTTCAGTTGTACATATACAAATGGAAAACATTGATTTATAATGAAAGAGGCACAGTATTCTGGGTGAAGAAATACTGTGAGTAACACTAGAAATCCTTTATTGCCAGGATAGGAGATTTGGAATTAATGTTAAGCAAGAAGCAATCCCAGAAGGGTTTGAAAATGAATATTGTACTTATATGTGATGTATTTTGACAGACAAACTTAAACCACATTTTTTAAGATCAACTGTCTAAAGATATAATTAGGCTGGGTTGGAGTGTTTGTGAGAAAAACTTGGACAAATAAAATTTGAGTTATTTGCAAGAAACATGTCAGACAGTAACTCAGAGTAATAATTTTAATGTTGAAAGCATTTGAATTCATGATTTAAGAGGGAGCTGGCTTCATGAATGTGAACTCTTTGGTGGAGAGTGAACAAACGCAAATAGCAAAGGGTCACAGACAAAACCTTTAGGGAAAGATTTTAGGGGAAGGTCAGAGAAAATTGCCACACATAAGAAGACAAAATTGAGCTAATGTAGGGGTGAGATACAATCAAAAGATCTTTTAACAAACTGCAAATTTGAAACTTTAGTTAAAGCTCAGGCAGTTAGGTGACATATAGCTCTAGTAGACTTTAAATCCAACATGGTGGCAGAAAATACATGTTTTGGGAATCAGGTAATTCGTATTTGTGGTATCTTGGCTCTGTGTTGTTTAACATCTCTGATATTTAGTTTTTAAAACAAAAATAATAACATCCACTTTATATATATATATATACACATACATACATATGTATTTTTTTTTTTTTTTTTTAGATAAGAGTCTTGCTATGTAGCCCAGGCTGGAGTGCAGTGGTACTATCTTGGCTCACTACAACCTCCACCTCCTGGGTCCCAGATCAAGCAATTCTCCTACCTCAGCCTCCCAAGTAGCTGGGATTATAGGCATGAACCACCAAGCCCAGCTAATTTTTGTATTTTTCAGTAGAGACAGGATTTTACCATGTTAGCCAGTCTGCTCTTGAACTACTGACCTTGTGATCAGCCCGCCTTGGCCTCCCAAAGTGTTGGGATTACAGGAGTGAGCCACCTCACTGGGCCATAAATATATATTTGATAAATAAATGAAATTACCCATATATAGCTCCCAGCACAATGTCGCCCACCCCACCCCCCCACCACATCAGGTTCCTACCACCCCAGCTTCATTTCCATTTCTCTTCTCTCTTGGATCACACAACCTTCCATTTCTCTTCTCTCTTAAATCATACAACCTCCAGTACACACTTTGCTATTCTCTTCTTTTCTTTCTAAAGCAATTAATTTATAATTGTACTCTCACCATCTGTAAGCACAATAATTGTGATGACTGTGTGTATGTGAACATGAGTGTGTATGAGTCTCTATGTGTATGTTTGTGTGTAAAATGATATTTGCATATAATGTATAATTTTCGTAGTTTTAAAGAAGAGAAGCTAAAATATCTTCCTTTGCTATAATTTGATGAATGAATAATGTAATCAAAGGAAAAAACAGCTAGTCATACATCATTTAGATAGTTATGCAAATTCTGATATATAGTTTTCTAGTGTGAATATTAAAATTCTATCACAGATTTTACTTGCCTATTTTCATGTTGGGGACAACTGAAGACACTCTGCTCTCTCACTTTTGATTATTTGTGTCATGGATTTTAGTACCTGGGGCAATTTAATTCTGAGGCAACTAAGCAAAATAAAGATTGTCCATAAATTTCAGAGATACTCAAACACCATAGGATTAAGAGTGATTAAGAAAGGAATTAACAAGCTAACAACTGCTGTCTTTTTTTTTTTTTTTTTTGAGACAGAGTTTCGCTCTTGTTACCCAGGCTGGAGTGCAATGGCGCAATCTCGGCTCACCGCAACCTCTGCCTCCTGGGCTCAGGCAATTCTCCTGCCTCAGCCTCCTAAGTAGCTGGGATTACAGGCATGTGCCACCATGCCCAGCTAATTTTTTTGTATTTTTACTAGAGACGGGGTTTCACTATCTTGACCAGGATGGTCTCGATCTGTTGACCTTGTGATCCACCCACCTAGGCCTCCCAAAGTGCTGGGATTACAGGCGTGAGCCACCGAACTGCTGTCTTTAAATAAGTAAAAGTGAGTGGAGAACTATCAGACTTTTGGCAGCTCTACTGAGAAAGATGAAGACATTGCTATAACCTAAAATATACTTATTGAAGAAAGATGTAAAACAAATGTCATATTTCACATTTATTTGTACATTGATTTAGTAGCTTGTTTTTGGCATTTCTTATCATTTCTCAATATTATTTTTTATTTTAATTTTACAATGCTTGTTTTATTTTTCCAAGCTTACCTACAGTTGAATAAATGACACCAAATGAGTTGTCAAGAGATTCTTTGATTTTCTAGATGCTCCTTCAGGGAACTACTTCTAACAGTGGCTCAGTTTCCTTATCTAAACTGAAATATATTGGATAGTTTCCTTTCTCTCTCTCTCTTTTTTTTTTTTGCCAGGCTCGAGTGCATGTGATACGATCTTGACTCACTTCAACCTCTGCCTCCTGGGTTCATGCAATTCTCCTGCCTCAGCCTCTTGAGTAGCTGGTACAGGTGCCTGCCACCACAGCCAGATATATTTTTAGTAGAGAGGGGGTTTAACCATATAGGCCAGGATGGTCTCAATCTCTTGACCTAGTGATTTACCTGCCTTGGCCTCCCAAAGGGCTGGGATTACAGGAGTGAGCCACTGCACCCGGCCCTGGATACTTTTCTAATGATCCATTTACAAGACATTTAGTTTTCTACACTTCAAATAGCAAAAGGAGTATATTAGTGGTACAGAGTTAGTCAATGTTATGTTCAGAATACAATTATCAGAAACATAAGACTTGGTGTGGTCAACAATCCCTCTCTTCCTTGCTAAGAGAAACCCTGTGGCAATGTACACAGCCAATAACCTTCCTGGTCTTCCATGCATGGAGAGGTAGCTATGTGACTTCTCCCTGGTTTTTTCTTTTTAACTTTTATTTTGTGTTCAAGTGTACATGTGTAGGTTTGTTATATAGCTAAATTGCATGTTGTGGGTGTTTGGTGTGCAAATTATTTCATCACTCAAGGATAATAATCATAGTACCCGATAAGCAGTTTTTCAAGTCTCACCCTCCTCCCAGCTTCCACCCTCAAATAGGCCCCGTGTCTCTTGTTTTCTTCTTTGTGTCCATATATACTCAATGTTTAGCTTCCACTTACATAAGAGAACATGTGGTATTTGGGTTTCTGTTTCTGTGCTTGTTTGCTTAGCTTTATCCATGTTGCTGAAAAGGACATGATGCCATTCTTTTTATGGCTGCATGGTTTCAATGATGCATGTGTACCACATTTTTTTATACTGTGCATTAGTCAGCGTTCTCTAGATGGACAGAACTATTAATAACAGGACAGATGTATATGTGAAGGGGAGTTTGATAAGTATTGACTCACACAATCACAAGGTGAGTACCACAATAACAAGGTGAGTCCTACAATAGGCAAGCTGAGGAGCAAGGAAGCCAGAATGCATTCCAAAACCTCAAAAGTAGGGAATCCCACAATGCAGCCTTCAGTCTGTGACCAAGGCATGAAAGCCTCTGGCAAACCACCGGTGTAAGTCCAAGATTCCAAAAGCTAAGAAACTGAAGTTCAATGTTCAAGAGCAGGAAGCATCCACCACGGATGAAGATGACAGCTGAAAGACTCAGCAAATTTGCTCTTTCCATCTTCTTCTGCCTCCTTTATTCTAGCTGGGCTGGCAGCTGATTAGGTGGTGCCTAATCAGATTGAGGGTGGATTTTCCTCTTCCAGTTCACTGGCTCAAATGTCAATCTCCTTTGGCAACACCCTCATAGACAGACCCAGGAATAATACTTTGCATCGTTCAATCCAATCAAGTTGACATTCAGTATTAAACATCACATCCAGTGTATCACTGATGGGCATTTAGGTTGATTTTATGTCTTCGATGTTGTAAATAGTGCTGTGATGAACATATGCATGTTTCTATGGTAGAACGATTTATATTCTTTTGGATATTTATCTAATAATGAGATTGTTGGGTCAAATGGTATTTATGTTTTAAGTTTTCTAAGAAATTGCCAAGCCATTTTCCACAATGGCTAAACTAGTTCCCTTTTCTCCATAACCTCACCAGCATCTGCTTTTTTTTTTTTTTAATTTTTAATTATGGCCATTCTGACTGATAGGAGATGGCATCTCATTGTACAAAATGAATAAAGCTGGAGGCATCACATTACCTGACTTAAAACTATACTGCAAGGCTACAGTAACCAAAACAGCATTATACTAGTACAGAAATAGAAACACAGACCAATTGAACAGAATAGAGAGCCCAGAAATAATGTGGTACACCTACAGCTATCTGATCTTTGACAAAATCCATAAAAACAAGCAATGAGGGAAGAACTCCCTATTCAATAATTGGTGATGGGAAAACTGGCTAGCCATATGCAGAAGATTGAAACTGGACCCCTTCCTTGCACCACATAGAAAAAGTAACTCAAGATGCATTAAAGATTTCAATCTAAAACCATGAAAACGCTGGAAATAACTTAGGAAATACCATCTGGACATAGACTTGGCAAAGACTTCATGATAAAGATTCCAAAAGAAATTGCAAAAAAAAAACAAAACAAAAATTGTCAAATGGGAGTAAATCAATATTTTCCTAATTGTTATCTAGTTCTAGGTCCATTTTGAATTGGTAATTCACATGCAGTTGCATATGTGTAATACATACATCTTGGGCAACTTCATTCCTCCCTCATAGAAGGACTTCCT